GCAAGGATTTTGAAGCTTTGTCTGACATAGTTTGGGTATATTGCAAGGAGGGACCAGTTTTTGGAGAGGGGCATCATGCTTGGAAGGGTAGAGGGTCAGGGCAAGAGAGGAAGACCCTGACTGAGAAAGATTTGCCCAGTGACTGGGGGCGTGGGGGTAGGTGTGTCAGAGACAATGAGGTTGGCTCAAGATAGAGCAGAGTTCAGAGCTGTTGTACATAGGATCGCTGTGCGTCGCAGGCGACTCGACTACACATAAGAACATCATGGATGAACTGAAACTTTCAGCTTTTCCTTTATTAGCTAAACACATTAACCACTAGCACCACTCAGATGAGAAAGGGAGATTTTTAAAAAATTGTCAGCCTGAAATCATCTGTATTTGAATTGTATGTACCTATAATGTAGAAAACTATAAATATCTTTTAAAACACTTGAAAAATGAACCTAACATTTCTTCTTTGATAATCTTTCATTAGTTTACTTTTGTTCTTTTAAAGCCCTGGTTCACATTCTGAATTTATCAATAAGTCCAAGAGTTTATTATTTTCCTTTTAACTTACGGTTGGACACATAATATTTGTAAATGGAGTTTGTGTTGAGGCGAAAAACGAAATACTTAGCAGGAAAGTAACCTGAAAACCACTTTGAATTAAATGCATTAACCTTAGAGGACAGGGTGTAGACTCACTATATTTTTCAGTTCCAACCCCCACATAACATCTGTACACTCAGAGCCATCAGGAAATAGAGGCTGAAAGAATGAATGGTTCACAACCTTCATAGGTATGGTTTAGAGTACTTTTCCATTTCCTTTGTCAAACCAAGTTTTCTGGATAGGAAAAAGGGAGAAAAGAAGAAAGCTGGATGTGATGGGAAACCTTTTGAGAAAAGAATGTGACAGCTGGGGTCTTTCTGTTTAAGGAAGGTCTGGGAGCACTGGAATGGTCCAGGGACTAAGGAAGGACAAAGTTGAATCTTGGGGACAGCTGCTGCCCTTCTGCTCCCTGCTTCCTGCCTGAAAGCTTTTGAGGATCAGATGTTCTGTCTTCAATAAAGACAGGCTCTCCTCTGCAAGAGAAAACTCGCATCCCCAGACTATCCAGGGCCTGCCCATGGGACACTCCCTTCCGGTAAAATACTACTCCCACTCCACACTCTCACATAAAGAGGGTGATGCCGTCACCCAGGCCTCCTGAGGTCAGGGGTCCAGGATCTAGGAGAGCCGGGCGTGCATTGTGAGGTGATTTATACGTGGTGGTGGATGTATGACGATGCAGAGCAATCCATCTACCTTAGCGACCAAATAGATTTCCTTTGCCTCATCCTCCTGTGGAAGCAGTAAAGGCTGGGAGGTTGGGCAAGGTGACCTTCCAGAGCCGAATCTGTGCTTGTAAAAATAGACGCATCCATAGAGACTTGAGAAGGGGTGGGGAAGCTGTGGATGTTAAGGGTAAAAACCTGACTCCCTGGAGCATTGTCAGTGTGAAACTGTATTAATTAGGCACAGGCACCCAGCTCGATAACCTCAGGTATCTCTCAGAATTGGAAACTAAATGAATTGGCTTCTTTCCCTCCTCCTCCTTTCTGCTTACATTCTCCCTGGGCTAAACAGAAATAAGAGAATGCGTCTTCTGACCTATTTGAATGACTGTAAAGAGCCCGAGGATGTCTTCCTTGCAGAGGGAAATCGGGGCTCCTTAGAGACACACCAAGGGAAGGAAAGGGCTGTCGCAAACTGGGAACCATAAGGATGAGGAGCATGGGCCATCTGTCTGGGTGCACTCAGGTCTGTTCTCCTCTCCCAGTGAGATTCATCATGTTGGGGCTCTGATCATGCCTGGGAGCGACCAGGTTAGTAGGCTGGTGTTATCAGACCTGTGGGGAAACAGGAGAACATGGTTCCTGCTCCCAGGCTTAGTCAGGGCTTTCTGCAGAGCTCCCTGGAGGACAAGGTGTCTATAGGTCTAAAAGAGCCAGGTTCTAGTTTGTACAGGTGGTGGTGTGTGGCCAGCTGGTGCCCAAGACTCTGAAGGTGCGGAGAGTTTTGTAAAATGCTCTGTGTGTGTGTGATCAGGGGAGGTATACAGGTATACAACTACATGCAGAGGTATTAGGGGAAATATAGACAATGAAGGGCACTTTTAAGGGTCACATTAATTGAGATATAAAATTAATTGAAGCCTCTAGGATTTTTTTCCCTCTGAGAGCTCTGGTGGTCTAGTGGTAAGAAGCTGTACTACAATCCCAAAGGCACACAATTTGAGGCCACCAGCTCCTCCACCAGAGCAGTCTCCTCCTGTGCAATTTACTGTATCTGAAAACCCTATGGACGTTCACTTATGGGTCCTTTCTGACTTGCCAGCACACGACAACAACAACAGGATTTACTCAGGCAAATAAATTGCACACAAGGAGATTTCTCTGGTCAAAAGAAACAAGAAGGCTTGACTTGAGCTAGTTATTAATGCATAGGGAGGCAGTCTAGACTAGGAAATCAACCATTGGTTCATCTTTGGCACAACTGGTTGAATCATGCTCTCCTCCTTTGCAGAGATCACCTGATAGCAGGCAGCCAGGTGAGTTGGCGAGCCCACAGTCATTTGCACAAGTCCTCAGGTAGTGTCCAGGGGATTTAAGTGATAAGAGCACCTTGACTGCTCAGCTAATGTAGGGTTTTAAAGTTTTCTTATAAGAAACAATGATACTACTTTGGGTAAAATGAAATTCGTTTCACAAGGTAAACTTTGAACAAGTTTAATAGATTTCTTATCACAAAGGGGGCTTTCTACAGTTTATGGTTCCTGTGTCTTCATGGTATCACCTGTATTTGTATTTATCTGATCTTGAGTGCATTTCACAGTGGTCAGTGACATTGTGAATCCACCTACACCATCTGAGGAAGCTTGAAACCTGGTCTTCAGTTTCTTTCTTACAAGAGACGTTTAGGGGACTGAGTTGTTGATAAGTGTCATCAAGTCCTCTTTAACTGATAGTGACCCTGTGTCCAATAGATTGAAACCTGGCCCAATTTCATGCCACACAGTTTGGTTGGCAGAGGGAGGAGGGGAATGAATTAGGAAGGATTCAGTGGGAACCTGAAAAGACAGGGTGATAATAGGCATAGATCAGTGGTGATTCTAAATCAGTGTATGGGAATGATCATATGGAACACAATGTGAATGAAGGAATGTGAAGCACAATGAACATATATTAAACACAGAACAAAGATTCTCACCACTGGGCCAACTGGCAGCACCATTATAAACGGAGAAGAATTTGAGGTTAACAATTACAGCTTGTCAGCACCAAAATCTACCCTCTTGTCACCAGCAGCTAGGAAATCAAAAGATGAATTGCACTGGGAAAATATGTTATCAGCGACCTCTCCAGAGTATTGAGAAATAATGATGTTAGACCAGAGACTAAGGTGCATCTGATCCAGGCCGTAAGTCTTTGCAATTACTTGCTATGCATCAGAGAGCTGGAAAATTACTAAGGATGATGGAAGAAGAATCATTGTCTTTGAGTTGTGGTGCTGGGGATGAGTCTTAACCATACCATGGACCACCAAGGAAACAAATAGGTCTGTCCTGGAGAGAGTGAAACCAAGTTTCTTCTTAGAGGCTAGGATTTTGAAGCTCCATCTCACATACTTTGGATTCTTGGGGGGAAAAAAAACATCATGCTTGGAAAGATGGAGGGACAGCACAGGGGAAGACGCCAGGTAGGATGGATTGACACAGTAACTGCGGTGTTGGAGGTAGGTGTGTTGGAGTCAGTGAGACTGGCTCAGGATAGGGCAGGCTTCAAGGCTATTTTACATAATGTTGCTATGAGTCACAAGCAACTCAGCTGCACATAACAACAACATATGAATTTTGTATGCAAACCAAAATAATATTTTTTAAATTGCCAAGCCTTTCCTTTATAGAACTGTAGGGTGAGTTCAAACTACTAACTTCAGGTTAGCAACCAATTGTACATTGCTTGCACCACCTAACCTCCTTGTGTAGGGAAATCTGTATGGGCCTTTGTGACCCACTATTTTAACTTGGCACCACACATGGCTGTCAGTCTGCTGGCTGAAAGTATGGAAGTACATGCTGGGTAGCACTTTGTGTGACTTTGTTCCTGGATGTTGGTTGTGTGCAGTGAGATAAATGGAGCTCTGTGGAGGACTTTGTGAGGGCTTTGCATGTGGGGGAACTCTGTATTGGGGTAGTGAGCTGAGCAAAATGCACCCATGTGAGGTTGTGTATGGCCGGATGCAGTGCATAAATCGTGGCAGTGGTCCAGTACAGCCCCAACAGCTTTGCCATCTGTCATGAGTTGAGTTGGATCCACCCTAAAGATATGTCAGCTTGCCTGAGTCATGATTGTAAGTTGTTTTGCAGTTACATAATGATGTAATAATCTGTCATGATGTTATCAGCCAACCAATTTTAGGATGGAATGCAGTGTTCTTGCTCATATCACAGCCCTGATTGTGGAGAAAAGAAAAGAGGAGAGCAGAGAGGGAACTTCAGTGCTACCAAGAAAGAGGATCCAAGAGCAGAGTATGTCCAGGCAACGAATGATACCAGGACACATGGAGATCTCCAAAGACTGCCAAACCCACAGACACTGAAAGGAAACAAGAGCTTTATTTGTAAACTGTGGGCTAACAAGGAGAAAAACTTTCCTCTAAAGTTGGCACTCTGAATTTGTAGTCTCCTACAGTGTGATAAAATAAATTTCTATTTGTTAAAAGTCTACTTGTATTATTTCTGTTATAGCAACTCTAAATATCTTAAGACACCATCTAAATATGGATTGTGTGTTCTTTAGGGTTTGGAGTTCCCAAAATATAGGGATGTGTTCTGTGTGACCACCATGAAGGGAGAGGCACCTGGGACTCATGTCATGGGCAAAGGGTCAGTGTGGTCTCGTCCATTGGCTGATCTTTGTGCACATCAGAATGAGGCACTGTCTGACGTTTCATTTGTGTTTTGTCAACAGGACAATGTGGATCTTGGAGAGTTGATGTTTTCCCTGTGCTATCTTCCAACTGCTGGCAGGCTGACCATCACCATTATAAAAGCAAGGAATTTAAAGGCAATGGATATAACAGGAGCATCAGGTAAGATACTTTTAAGTTCTTCTTCCTTTATTCTAAACTTGATGAAGTTTCTAGTAGAGTAGTAAAGCACTGGGACTCTGGAACCAATCTCCTGGGTATTAATTTGTCATGTTACTGTGGGTTCAGTGCCCTTGTTTGCTATCCACACTCAAGCTAAAGAATTAAGGCAGATGAAAGAGACTGGAGGAGGGAATGGCTACCAAGGTTACACGGGGTACGTCAACTTCAGTGTTCTTTGGGAGAGCTGAATTTAATAAACAGTGTGGAGGCCCTTTAGAAGGTCTCATGTTGGTCTTATAACAATCTTGGTGTAGGACAAGGCCTAGTTAGAGTGATAATGTTGAGAGTATGGGCTGAAGCTTTTGTTAGAGCACAAGGCTGAGAAGAATGGCGAAGAGGAAGAGATGAAAGTAAAGAAGATAGATTTCTTAGAAGAGATTCTCCTTAAAGGGACAGGCCCACCCTTCTCAGAAAGAAAGTAAAGGGGGGGTGTGTGCTACTGAGGTGAGGGTTATTTATGGCTTCCTTGTCTGTGTGCCATGGGGCTGGAGTCTGGGCCAATGAGACGTCATCATGAAGAGTTCCAAGCTTGGCAGATGGTTCTTGTTTTAGTCCACTGCCTTTGGCATCACTCATGTGTCCAAAGAACGAACTCCATGCATGTCAGTATCTTTTCCCTGGTTCTGATGGTGTATGAATTTCTGCCTCCCCTCTCTTGTTGGTTCTAATCCTAATAGTCACATTACTTGAACCTGTGGGACTTTGGAGGACTCACTTAACCTCTCTTAGGATAATAGTAGTATGCGACTCATGGATTGTTGTAAAAGCAGCAAAACCTTAATAAACATTGTCTGGTAAAACTAAATGTTATATAATGTTAGCTACCATTATAATCATTAGTCTCTACTAGATTCCTTCACCATAGTTGTGCATTACACTTGCAGTTTTATATATGCTAATACAGCTTCCCTAATTGTATCTTCCCTCAAATATGTATTACTGAAAACTGAAGACAATCCTCTCTCCTTATAAAAGGCTTATGTCATTTTTCAGATGTGTGTACATTTTTAATTCTAAGCCCTAGCAAAATCTTCTCCCCCCTCCAATAAATGCCCTCAACTGCATATCCATCTATCCAAGCCAGCCCTGCAGGGATTCTCATATATGGTCACAGCCCACCCAGTATACTGGCTTGCAGTTACTGAAATCAAAGCATATCAAGTGCTGTGTGTTCTGCTTCCTCCACTCCAGTGTTTTATAAAGCAGGGAAAAGATGGGGCCTCTCTATCCCTCTGCATTCCTCCTGGACAGAACATTGACCAAATCCATGGTACAGGAATCAAAGCAAGACATGCTTATGCAGGTGAATAGAAAGGAAGTCAGTGAGATCAGGAGAACCCTGCCTGGATTAGAGGCCAGCCTTGTCACCACCTTCATTGGCACCTTGTGACAATCCCTCTGTCCCTTTCCCTGATGTGTTCATCTACTTCCTCTTTTGCAACCTGACTGCTGTTAACATCAGTGACCTGAGACTACTGTAATTTACCTCCAGATATCCTCCTTACTCTAGGAATTCACCATCCCCTTTGCTAAAGTCCTGATCTGTAGGAACAGAGTCCTTGGTGTGGCTCAGAATTAGGGTCCTGCAGCTTGTGTGCCCATACCAGGACAGTGCCTAGCTATTTTACTGTTACTGCAGCCAAGCAGTTCTTGAATTTTAGCTGAAGTGTTTTCTGATCCAGCAACAGATGTTTTCACACTGTTTTATAATTTCACACTTTTTGAAGAGCCACTGTTCTGTACTTTTTTCTTGAATGAATTCTTTGTTTTAATTCTAGTCACTGCTCAGGCATCTTATTAATTAAAACCCTCCAATTCCTATCTACAGGCAGGTAAAAGAATTTTGCAGATCATGTGGTTGTTGTCAGTTCTGATTCATAAAAGCCCTACATGACAAAAGAGAGCTATCCTATTGGGTTTCCTAGAGTTTAGTCTTTGGGAAAACAGACTGTCACATCTTTCTCCCACAGAGAGGCTGTTAGTCTCAAACCACTGACCTTTTGGTTAGCAGCTAGGCTCTTAAGCACTGTGCCACCAGGACTTCTCTTTTTTTATCAAACCCCAGGAAGACTCATAATGACACAGCTGTCATACTAAATATATGTTTATTCTCACAGTACGCCTGCTTCTCATGTTCTGTTCAGATCCCTACGTGAAAGTCTCACTGATGTGTGATGGCAGACGGCTGAAGAAGAGGAAAACATCGACCAAGAGAAATACACTGAATCCTGTTTACAATGAAGCCATAGTCTTTGACGTCCCTCCCGAGAACATTGACCAAATCCACTTGTCCATCGCAGTCATGGACTATGACCGGTGAGATTCCTTCAGCTCTTTCACAGTATTCATTAGCTGTGTCCGGGGTCCCCAGCGAGGAAGGGAGAGATGTTCAGTCCATAGTTCCGTAACTGATGTTCTAGGCTGCAGGGAATGAGACATATGAGCAATACACTGAAAAAAAAAAAGTTTAAGCCACTCTTTTCCAGACCATACTGAAGAGTCAGACTACCCACATACCTCGCTGCTCTTTCATGCCTCTCCTTCTTTCAATTTCCTCCTCCACCACTCCTAACACCACTTCTTCCCTTTTCATTGTCAGCACGCCTCTGAGAATCCCAGCTTGGGAAACTGGCCCTTCACATCTTACCTTCTCTTAGACAATCCTGACTGCCCTTCCTGGAAATATTCCACTCAGAACAGCAGAATGATTGTTTTAACCAGACCCTCAACATTTTTAAATTCATAACTTCAATCTTTCTCCCCACCCATTTTCTCCCTAAGTGTTTAATAAAGATCATTTCCATCCACTTAAGTCTGAAAGCAAACACAGAAATGTTCTCTTGAAAATGTTAACATCAGTGCGGATGACAGGGTACATTAAAATGTATAAGATGCTCGACTTTTTTAATTAATACACCACAGAAGAGATATTTATAGCCTGCATTGTAGCCAATTGTGTATTTAAAGGACAGATTTTAAAACAGTATTTTAATATGCAACGGAAGTACCAACAGGGAATTATACATGTTAAACCAGTCATTAGACTGAAATGCAAAGTCTCTTTTTAATTGGATACCTCCCACGTGGTCTGGGCACAAAAATAAAAAATGATTCTGACTTCTAATAAAATCTTACAAAAACTAATTTTAGCTACAAAAAAATGTGCCTGTCTATCTCTAAAACATTGTCAATAAAGCAGCTTCAGTGCCCCAGCACTCTTTTCAGCAGATGTGTAGGTAAACATGACTGCCTACTAACACAAGGGTTAACTCAGCTGCCCATGGGTATGTCAACCTATGCTGGCCAGTAGACGTTTTCCTGGCTCTTGTGGATGGCACACTCCACCATTAGTGTAAAGACACAGGAGGAAATATTGCCCACTAACTCTGGAAGGCTACATCAGCATTTTTCAAGCTATTGCCAAGTTTCCTACATCGACAGATCTGATTATGTGAGCTCTGCTTCTATTTAATTCTCAGTAAACTCATGAGTCTGGCCTGGAAAAATCTATAGCAGACTCAATGGGGCTCCCACATGTAACTGATTTTTAATGAGGATACAGTGAAGTACCTTTCAGACTATCTCTCCACACACAAATAATACTCATATATACAGGAAGGAAAAATAAAGAATTAAAACAAGTCTGTGAGTTTGGATTCAGAGAGTTAAAGGACAGGCTATTTCATGCTTACGGAGCTCTGGTAGCCTAGTGGCAAGAAGCTGCACTGCAATCTTGAAGGCATGCAGTTCAAGGCCATTCGCTGCTCTGTGGGAGAAGGATGGACAGTCTCCTCCCAAGTGATTAACTGCTTCTGAAAACCCACCAGGGGGTCAGCTATGTGTCTGTTCTGACTCTGAGGTACACAACAACAGCATATCATGCTAGTTACACAAAAGATTTTTAACAAAAATTGACAGTGATATAAAATTGACTGGAGAAAGGGATCTACTAATGTAAAGTTTTAGAAATGTTGAAAAAAAAAAAATACTAGCCCTAAGGAGAAATGTTTTTCTTTCTAGAGTTGAGAAATAGTATCGGGTTAAAGAAAATAAAGTGGAATTTAGAAGGAAGGAGGGAAAAATTGAGCATCTATTATTGCAAGAACCTCCTTTCAGATGGCTCCATTTGCATGACCTGGAGGGCTGGAAGTCAACCTGGTTCCACAAACAGACCATAGAGAACCTTAGCATGCAGCAGGGAGTCCTTTGAAAAGGAAGTTCTTGGGAACGATGTTGTAATACTAGAGATGTGTGAGGGTGAGAGTCTGTTCTTCCACATAGGCTTCTAAGTACAACATTGGACCCCAAGTCTTATTGACTTGGTTATACTTAGCCTATAGTTAAGGAATTAAGAGAACCACACCTCTTGAATTCATGCATCAGTTTGAGTAGGTGTTACTCTTACATACCAGAATTTTAAGAAAAACCTATGGTGGGCCATTTTCACAGTGTAGGTCACAATGAGATCATCGGCGTATGTCAAGTAGGCAACGAAGCTGAGAGGCTGGGCAGAGATCACTGGAGTGAAATGCTGTCATATCCTCGGAAGCCCATCGCACACTGGCATTCCTTGGTGGAGGTAAGATCCTAAGCCTCCCTCCCTCCTCCCCGCATGCTCCACTTGAACAAGAGTCTTTGGTTTGCTGGTGAAATCTGAGAACCATCAAGAACATAAGTTGTTCAGGATCTAGACTCAGAGAAAGCTTTCCCTGGCTGCATTTCCTAGGGTCCTGGGGACTTACATTCAAGCTGAGGTTCAGTCTTATACAAAGTACCAGTCTGGTAGGTTTTGAGCATTGATGTGAAGGACCAATCCTCCTTTCTTTTCTTGCCTTTTTAGAGTGTGTGCTAAGAGCCTCTACTTTCATGTTAATAATTCAAGATTGACATTGTGAGTTCATTTGCAAATTCTGAGTGAATGCTGAGAATCTAATAGTGACTTCTACCTGATGTTGGAAAGAACTTTGGACTGAGAGAGAAGAGACGTGGATTCTAGGACTGGCTCGGGCATTAATCTGTGATCCTAAATCAAAATTATTTGGATCAGGTTCAACTATGAGTGACTAAAATAAACCCCAAACAAATCATATAGCAACAACAAATGAACTGGTATCCTGTTTCTCTCTTACATAAGAAAGTCCAGGGAGAGGCACTCAAGGGAATTATAATCACTCCATGGTCAACAAGGACCTTGGTTGTTTCTGTCTTTCCACTTTATTGTCCCAGAATATCTTTCTTCCTTAAGTTCACTTCCTAGTGCAATACGGCAGCTGAGCTGCAGCCGTGACATGCATTGTAAAGCTAAGAAAAGGGGAAAAGAGAAACATTTTTAAGGAAGATTTCTCATGCAACCCTGCTACTTACTTGTCACTGCACCAAATTTAGTCACATAGCCATGTTTAGTTGCAACAAAGGATGGAAAAGGTACTCTGTTGGATGGCAGTAAACTCAACTGAAAACCAGAGTTCTGTTACTGAGGAACAAGTGGAGAGCGGGCACCCAAGGGCGGCTGGCCGTCTTTCCACAGCTGACAGCCTCGCTCATTCACTCTCACTTCCCTGTCCACTTACTTCTTAATCATTTTTGCCCATTTCTTCCTCTATCATTGATTCTCTCACTTTTCTTATTTAGTAACTCATTTTTATAAAAATAAATTGTGGGACTAAGTAATATTCTTTGAAGGTCAGATGCCATAGTATACACATAGAAAATGCAGATGTGAGTAAGAAACCCTTTCCTTATGGTGCTTATTACTATGAGAGGGGTGATGTGTAAAATAATTGTTAGAGCTCAGTCACAAGTATATCACATGTATGAAGAGCTAGAGGAGCACAAAGGAGGCTGTGCCTAGAGGAGATTGTCCAGGTAGCATTTCTCCCTCTCCTCTCAGCAAATGAAAAGAATTGAGCTCCTGGGATGGGAACTCAAGAATACAAGCAGCAGCTGTATGTGAAGGAAGCCTGAATTCCAAGCAGCGATCCCTCTGTGTGGGTTCTGACATTGATCTCTAGGCATATCTGATGGACATAAACATGCAGAGAAACTAGAGAGTGAGAGAGGGACCAGGCCCAGACCCGAGAATGGAAGGACAGTCCTCCTCTCCTGGAGACGGTGTCCGAAGAAAAGGTTTCCGGGCCTTCAGATACCAGAGAATCTGATTGTATTCAAGGAGAGCCTCAGGTTCCCTGATTTGAAGGTCCCTGAGGATATCTCTCCTCTTTGGCCATAGAAGCTACAACTTTTCTCCATACCTCCTATTTTCAAAATTGATCCCTTAGGGGAACACATAGGACCTGTGAACCACTGGAGAATTAGCTAAGGAATGGTGACTTACCCACCCAACTATTCCTCATTTCTTCAGCTCCTGTTGGAATTCTCAAAGGAACCCATTAATTTGTCTGGACTCTTAACAGTGACAGAGCAGTTGTACCCATATAGGTCATTGTAATGGTGTTGTTGCTCTATAAAGCAATGACAAGGAAAAGGAGAGGAGGAAGGATTAGGAATGGAGTGTAGGGGTGAGAGTTAAGGTCTAGCTCAGTGGCCAAGCACCTTGGGAATAGTGCTAGCTTCAATGGCAAAGTGTGCTTGGCTCAGGCAGAGCAAGGTGTTGAAAATGTGCCTTGGAGGGAGACTTTATCCACTGCTGAGGATGCAATGCTGTAAGACTGGCCACCAGGGAGATTGTCCCAGAATCCTGAACTCTTGGCTTTTTGCATGTCTGTATCTGACAGATACATCAGTGAGTAATAGCATTTCTCTTAATGGGGTTAAACCATTAAAACTCTGGAGTTCATTTGTTATAACAGCTTTAGAATTGACGTCCACTGATACGATGATCCTTTCTAGTTTGTTGCAGCAGAACTTAGAAAGTTTAAAATTCCTGTGTCCCCTTAGCTGAGGGGTTGAGCAAGGAAGGCTGTCCCTTTCCACGGTTTTCTGTCTCTTTGAAATATATGCCCAGGACTCCAGCTCCATCCAGGAGTCATTCCTTTTTAAAAATAAACTTTTAACTGGCAGAACTGGGGCAATGGTACCAGAGGAGATCAAGCACAATCTTTTGGAGAGGTCAGCAGTGCTTTGCTAACCGCAGAGGACGGAGGAGTGGCTGTTAAGCACTCACTGTGGAGATGATGGACCTAGATTCAAATCCCTGTACTGCCACTTACTTCTTGTTGTGTTTAGTTATTTTTGAGTTGGCACTGATGCTTGGTAGCCTTATAAAAGAACAAAACACAGCTCATTCCTATACCATTTCATGATCTTTGATATGTTTGAGCCCATTGTGGCCACTTAATAGATGGTTATTATTGTCTTTCTGAACCTGAATTTCTTCATCTATGAAGTGACCCTCGGATTACAGTGCTTGGCTGCTGACTGAAAGGTTGGCAGTTTGAACCCAACCAGCAGCAATTCATTCTGCCCCTGTAAATACTACAGCCTAAAAAAAAATAAATTACGGACAACTTTACTTTGTCACATAGGATTGCTCTAAGTAAATGATTGACTTGATGGTGGATAACAACAACAGCAAAAATGGCCATGACAGTGTCTAGCTGGTCAGGGAAGTTATGAGGATGAAAAGTAGCATGTTGAGGTTAGCAGGATGGAGAGTTTCAGTGTATATGAAACACAGTGGCTTGCACATAGTACAAACTTAGTAAAAGTCTCATTTAGGGTCATTAGCATGTTGGCCACAATTAAAGGGACTGTTGTGTGTCTTTATGGGTAAGGGAGTATTACCTATCATTTTTTTTTTCATAGAGGATTTTTAGAAAGATTTGAGAACACTCCAACTTTCCACTTTCCCACTCACCCTGAGAGAGTTTATTCAGTTCTTGACTGGACATAGGTGCATAGATGTAAATTATATTTTGTTATTTCTCTTTTCTTTGAAGATGTTACTGTTACATCCTTTTAAGAATCTTTTCCGTTTCTGTTTTGAAGTTAAAAAGATCAGTTAAATCCCAGTCCTCTCAAATTGTATGTGTGTATGAATGAGGTGAGCAGAGATTAGGATTTAACATGAGGGGAGGTGGGCAGAAGTGCTTCATATTTGGGGATTGAGGGGCCAGGTTGGAACTGAGCCCTGGGCCCATGGAGATTTGGCAGCTTCCTTGAGACTGTATCCACCACACCCTGACCTTGCCAGTGCAGGTGGCAGATGGAGTCTTCAAAGCCATTGAGTTCAAAAATCTGTTCCTCTCTCAGGGATTCTGGACAGCTTCACTGCACACTCAAAGGTCAGCCAATCCTGCTCCCTTTACTCTCCTTATAGTTAAAGGCCAGCAAAGCCGTGTCAGCTCTGGTAGGACAGATTGTCTGTGGCTTAGAGCTTGAGGACTCCCTGATACCTCAGGGAATAGCAGAAGTCTCTGTGGTCTCCCTGACCACAGCACCCTGCTTATACATCCAAAGGAAGATGCAGTTGGCCTGACCATCGCCCAGCACCTGCTCCATCCTCTGACCTCTATCATGAACTTCAGAAAAATAATAGATTATTCTCTGGGGAAGAGCAGGTTTCCATCACTTCCCTGTGTCATACTCCATGACCTCTTTATTAACAAGAAGTAAGCATGGCTTTCCCACCACCATCATGTGGATTGCAGCTCATAGTGACTTTAGAGGACAGAGTATAACTGTCCCATAGAGTTTCCAAGGCTTTAAGTCTTTATGAGAGTAGATTGTCTCATCTTATTTCCTAAGGAGACACTGGTGGGTTCAAATTATTAACCATTCAGGTAGCAGCCAAACACTTAACCCCCCTAGGATGCAACTTTGAACACTAAGGTATGCCTGACCCAAGTTAAGTCGCCCCAGCTGCATATAAAAGTTGGAAACTGAATAGAAAGAACAAAGGATCATTTGTTCCTTTAAATTTTGATGTTGACAAAGAATGTTAAGACCTATATGAGACAGAGCTTCACTATCCTTGCTTCTAAGGAGCGACCTGGTGTCACCCTCTCCAGGACAGACCTGTTTGCTCTCTTGGTGGTCCATAGTATGTTCAATACTCTTCTCCAGCACCACAACTCAAACTAGATTTTATTTGATTTAATAAATAAATCGTGGACTCCCAAAAGAACAAACTAATCTCTCTTGCAAGAAGTACAGCTAGAGTGATCCTGAGAAGTGAGGATGGTGACAGGTCACATACTTTGGGAATCAGGAGAAGACAGTGTTTAGGGAACAGACTTCATTCTTGATGAAGTAGAAGGACAACAAAAGAGAGCAAGCCCCTCAACAAGATTGGTTAACACTATTGCTGCAACAGTGGACTCAAACCTAGCAATGATTGTGAGGGTGCCCCAGGATCCGGCACCATTCTCTTCTGTTATTCGTACGGTTGCTATGATTTAGAGATGGCTTGATGGCACCAGTCAACAAGAAGAAGCATAGTTTAATGGGGAGAGAAAACCCAAAACAAACAACATTTGGTTAAATCAAATAAAATCTAGTTTGAGTTGTAGTGCTGGAGAAAAGTATTGAACATACTATGGACTGCTAAGAAAGCATACAGCTCTTTCCTGGAGAGGGTGACACCAGGTTGCTTCTTTGAGGCAAGGATTGTGAAGCTCT